ATTTTGTGCGGATAATTAATAGTATTCGACAGTTTTATTTGTCTGAATAATTGGTGTGTGTTTTATTGCGTCTATAATTTATCATCACGAAGTGACTGTTTATTTTGTTTTAATTTTTATGAGGAACCTTTTTATTAATTTTTTATGTAATGTTTTAGGCTTAGTCTTAATATCAGCGATGTTGATGCTAGTAAGTATCGGGATGTTCGCGTTTCCCCCACGTTTACCTACGAGCCGAACCCCCCCGCGGAGGTCAGATTCGCAGAAGCCCAGCTTACGAGGTAAGTTCTGATTTATTCTTCAAGAATGTCTCCAATCTCTTTCGTCAAGCTAGTCGCTGTTTCGACCGCATGACATCGAATCTCGCGCCAACTTAATCTATCTTTATAGTTCGCCATAAGCTGCTTTGTGGCAGTTCCCGTCTCTCTCTCTCTCTCTCTCTCTCTCTCTCTCTCTCTCTCTCTCTCTCTCACATTATTTCTTTCTTCCTTTCTGTCTCGCGATTTCCCGTACGAATAATGAGAAGAGTCCTCGAGAGCGAAAAGGAAAACGGATGTGTTGTAATATTAATTTATCCTCGTTGCAATAATATGCAACGTGTAAATTTAGTTCGTGCTGTATATATTGTCACGCTCGCGCTTTCTTTCTTTCTTTCTTTCTTTCTATAATTGCATTATGTGCAAATTCTAATATCTTAACACTTAATGATGATTTGTACCAGCATTTATAATGAATCACTGCGCGTGATAACGTTGTACGCAGCCGCTGTGAGAATACAAATAGCATAAAAGGATAAAAAATTGATTGCGCATTTGAATTTGCCCGATTAAAATTTGAAATACATTCGCGCGATCTTATGTAAGTCTAAAAAAATAGAATTACTGTAGTGTATATACGTATAAATGGCATATGAAGAGATTACAATGTAGAAAAGTGAATTCTGATGGAGTATGAATACTGAAAGTAAAGGGATAGTAATAGATTTTCCTTTTTGCATGATTGTGTGCTGATAATATTTCTACGTTGATGGCAAGTGTTTTTATTGTCCGTTGAAAGGTTCACGACGAAAGGCGAAATTCTGCACGCTTGCCACTTGCCATAGTCCGCGGATCGAAGGCTAACGAGAATGCAAATAGAAGCCGGAGACAATGTGCTCTTCGTAAGTTAATCGGGAGCTCACGACGAGCGATTTCGCCTACGGCTCGAATAATGCTTTCTCTTATACATATATTTACATTTATACATATTGTGTATCAAGGCAACGATATATCGGTGTGATCTTTGGAGCAATTTTTGTCAATTTTTTTAAATTTATTAATTTAATTTTTTGTCGATTAAATGATTTTTATTTTATAATAATTAGAAAGAGAGAGAGAGAGAGAGAGAGAGAGAGAGAGGAGAGGTAAATGTATAAGAAGTACTAAAAAAAATGTAATTGTCACAACTTACGAGTGTCAAGCGATATGTTGTACAAGAGTCTCTATATATAACATTTATTTTCAGCATTATAGATTTTTATGTATAATCTACTGCTTCGCTGGCTTCAGGTTAAGATGTATATTCAATCTATAACAACCCACGCATTTAAATCGCCTCCATTATCCAATGATCAGAGACGCAACAGGATGAATCACTATGCCATATCCGCAGCTGCATCAATATCTCGCGCGAAGTCCCAATATTGGTCCCGACGTCGTCGCGCGGCGACGAATAATGCATTCATACGACTCTATCTATGCGCATAAAAGAAGGAACGAAGCGATCAGACGATCTCCGAAGCGGTAAGCCTCCGGCGGTTCAAGGTCAATGGCGGATCTAGGTGCCGAGCGGAGAAAATCGGTATCGCCTCTGCCTATATAATATATGCGGGTCCAATCGGGAAAGTACGGCTCGCGCCGAGATTTACAGGTTTCGACACGCCTGTAAAAAAAAAAAAATTCGGCGCGCGGCGATTAGGCTCTCCTCGTGAAGAATCGTTTCTCGAGCGACTCTCTCGTGAAATTCGGCGACCGTGAATAATCAACTTCATGATTAGATTTCTGCGCTTTTGCCGTTTTTTCCCCTTTTCTCGATGTTTCCAGTTGAACTTGTACCGCCAGAAGTGGCTCTTTGAAGACGATATTTCATGCTTCATTTGCGATCCAATCACCTTGACCCGTTTAATCCTCCGATTTCTCTTAAGCCGCTCAAAATGTATTAATGAAAATTTAATACATTATCAAATCAATAATGTTTAAGTCATTATGTTGCCTGCGAATATTAATAGTTAATCCTGGAATATTATCTCGGATGGAAGGCTACTCTAAAAATATCTCTCAATAGAAAAAAAATTGAAAAAGTAATTGTAAAAAGTCTTCTTTTTTTTTTTAAGGGAATTAATATGAATTTTTCATAGTTGAAAAGTCGGAATTTTTATTTTGGAAACAGAAATCTACTGCAATATTCTCCGTAAAATCTACGTAATATTCTACGTACCCTATTTTGACAAATAATCATGTTTCAAAAATTCCGCACAATTTCTTATAACGCAATAATAAGCGGCGAAAAGAGAGCGCAGACGCGTAAGAATAATTTTTATAATTCTTATTAATTTCAAAAAGATAAAAATGATACATTTTTAGTATACGATACGTTTCCCGGACGAATTTTCCGCACGAATTTGCAAAAACGTTTCGTCTTAATTATCGCGTACCGAGTCGCCGCGTAACTAAGCGAGAACTTAGCTCGTTTCGATGTCGAAAAGCCTGAAATCGTCGGATGCTTCTTTAACGGACTCTCGCGCGCGGACGACGCGTTCACGCGTGTGTCGCGTAAACGGCCGCGTACGTTGCGTGCGTGTACGCGCCGGGGAGCGTGTACGCAGCCGTAGCCGCTCTTTGCGCGTGTGCGTTAATAATAATGACTGACCGACTCGTGCACGAGGTGGGGCAAGTTCACGGTCACGCGTCGTGCATAGAGGCGGTGGTGGACACGCACGCGCGTACGTTTTGCGCGTGCACACGGACTAACGTGCGTGTGTCTCTCATTTCGGATTCTTTTTTTTCCGTTTCCTTTTCTTTCCTCTCCCTTTTTTTTTTTTTTGCGTTCTGTGTTCTGTGTTCCTCTCGCTCTCTTCTTTTCTCTTTTGCTCATCTCTCTCTCTCTCTCGGTTGCTCTGTACGAGCTGAATTCGCTACGAACCGCATTACAAACACCGTCGCACTCGATTCGGCGGATCGCCTACGTGCGAGCCTTTTTAATGTCTAACTTTTAACCCGTGTCTCTTCTAATGTTTTATTTATTGTCGGACACTCTGTTATTTTCTTGAAAGCGAGTTCCAGTGCCTTCGCATATTTATAACGAATATTTTAGTACCACGTTTTAAACATAATTTACTTTCTGAACGTTCCACGCCGTGTAATCGTAAAGCCAAGTAAATCAATTTATAGAAAAACGCAAAAGAGATCGCGATTGACATTGAAAAATTATAACTATCATAGCCGTAATGAATATACAGGGTAGCGCACGAGACGTCATAGCATTTAATTTTCAAGCTTTGGCAAATCAATTCTATATCAGTTCTGTCAATTTTGTCAAAGATAAATATATTCAATTATATAAAATTATATCAAATAATAAGACGCTTGTCACGCCACCTTATAATCAGATATGTTGAATTCACAACAATTAGATTTGGAGATACAATTGAACAGTCTCTGCAATATTTAAGTTTCACGACTGGACTTACAGATACTCAGTAGATACTCGAATCGAATTCAATTGTTGTTCAATTATTGTGCAATCACTATAGTCGAGCGCAATTATAAAATAACGCTTATGCATTTGTTTATGCGTAATACGCTCTCTTGATCTCACCGATTTTCAGTGTCTCTCGCATTAATCACCAACTTAATGATGGTTGGTGGTTAGAAAATTAGTGAAGTAAAAGATTTGTCAGTAAGAGGATATATTTTTTAACGTACGATAACGATCGGCGTCTCACGTTCGAACCTTTAAAGGGTACTGTGTACGCGCGCGATAATACTCGGAGCGCAATGTTAGTCACGTTTGTCTACTCATGGTCTGTAGGACGTCCCTATGCGGAGTTGCCACGACTGGCCTCTCCTAGCTGGCCCCTCTCTCTCTCTCTCTCACGGGTGCCTAGAAGACTTCTAGGCAGTCCTAGGCATGCAGCGTTTGCACGCACAAGGTTACGCATATACTATACACTTTCTACAGTCTCATGCGAAAAAGACGCTCAACTCGTTCAAGTAGATAAATTCAATCCTCGGCAGAGGGAGAGGCACGAAATTTCGCATTTATTTCGCCTTCTTTTTGAGTAAATTACAAAGTAAGATTAATTTAGTCTTCTAATCTGCTCTTCGTTTTACAACAATCAGATTTTTTAAAGCGATGAATCTTTTTCTCCAGCTTTTATTTTTACAAGCGAAAATGAGCAATTGCATAAAGCTGAAAATGTTCTGAACTTTTATGCTTAATTCTTAGTAAAAAAAAAAAAAAAGATCTTTTTTAATATTTACGATATTTACTTTAATATTAATACCTTTAATCTTTCTTTCTTCTTCTGGGTAATTTTTAGAGAAACTTTAAGGCTATCTTATGACGGTATAATTTAAAAATTGATAAATTATTGTTATAAAATCATTGTTTTTCTGTCTTCGATAGTTTTCAAAATAGGAAAGGAAACAAATCCATTGATCCATTGAAATATTTAACATATACCATAGTTTCAATAGCGTCAAATATATTATATTAATTTTTTAAAATAATGTTTCTGTCTCTAAATGCTATATTGCAATATAGCGTATATAAAAATATCTACGTTTTCTATTTCGAACCTTATAACAATTTAGTAACGAGAGAGAAAGACAATTGTGAACATTTCTCTCATTAGAATCGATTGCAAATTGGTTCGAGAGGTGCGTAAATGCGTTTGCCGAACTCGGAGAATAATTTCGTGCATCTCAATCGCGACAATGTCGTTCCCTTAATCGTCTGGAACTAGAATGCTGGCGGTCTATAGTTTCTGAGAGAGTAGGTATATACGTTTCAATGGGTCAATACGTACGGGTCGGCCGAACGATGTACCTTCGTCTGGCCAAGAGCGTGTGTAAAAGTCCACGCGACGCATCGATCTTCACCGTACGTTACATTGATTCCAGCGAAACTGCTAGTAAATGTAGTCGTCGTCGTCGTCGTCGTCGTCGCTGTCGTACTGAAAATACTGAAATCGCTTGGAATTGTCTGCGAATCGCTCAGTGTTTTACAACGCAGAATCGTACTGCACGGAGCCTCTCGCCCTTTCTCCTTTTCCCGGCGCGATCTCTTCCTCCATTCCCACCTCCTTCGCTCCTCGACCACCTTCGAACCTTTTCGCATCCT